TTAAATGGAATGTTGTGTTTTTCAAAACATTTTGAAGGTAACAGTACCTAGAGCTTGATAGTTTTGCTAAAGAGACACCAGTGAAGATCTTAACTACCATTTAGCTTCATGAACATTTTATATATGTGTACCCCTATCTCTTACTGTTCCATTTTGGTTTCAGGGCTTGAACACAAAGCATGGTGAAGTACACTACTTCATGAGTACATTAGTTACTCTACAGAAAAGCCAGCTTTATAGCAAATACCAAATGTTCTCCCAAAATTACAAGAGAACCCTTTTGGAGATAGAAGTGTCTTCCATAAATGAGGCTTATTGCCAACAAGAGAGTAACGAGCACTGAATGGTAAAAAGACGATCTGTGTTACACAATTCATCCAGGGGCACAGCCCATGTCACCTATTATGTGAATATCAGAAGTTATAGATACTGGGTTCTTTCTCTCTTTTCTCTGTGGGGGTCACGATCTGGAGGGAGGTGGCCAAGAGGAAAAGCAACTGTCAAGTACTACAGCTCCCCCTGTCTATGACTGACTTTTAGACCTAACCATGATAGGGTTTGTAATGCAACTTCAGCAAAAAGAGATGACTGAAGGCACCCTGAAAGGGCTCTGCACTCCTTCCCATGAGGGGGTAGACTTGCTATATTCATTGAATCACAGAATCATTAAGATTGGAAAAGACCTCCAAGATCATTGAGTCACACCTTCGATACAACTAAACCACAGCACTAAGTGTCACACCCAGTTGCTTCCTGAACACTTCCAGGGATGGTGGCTCCACCATCTCCCTGGGCAGTCCATTTCAATGCCTGACCACCCTTTCAGTGAAGAAATTTTTCCTCATGTCCAACCCAAACCTTCCCCGGCACAGCTTGAAGGCATTTCCTCTTGTCCTGTCACTAGTTGCCTGGTAGAAGAGGTTAACCCCCACCTTGCTACAACCATGTGGGGCAACATGGCAAACACTGGAAGGAGCAGATGCTGCTGATGTTCTGTGTGGCATTAATTCATTTAGAAGACACAAATACTAAAGTCTTTATTTTCAGTTGTCTGTCATGGGTGTGTGCCTCTACTCCTCCCACCCTTAAATACTTTTGTTCTCAGACAACTGCAAGAGAAGTGTTTTGTTCTCAGACAACTGCAAGAGAAGTGTCGGGAACAGAACAAAGGACTCTATGTTACCTTTGTTGATCTCACCAAGGCTTTCGATACTGTGAGCAGAAAAGGTCTGTGGCAGATTTTGGAACGTTTAGGATGTCCTCCCAAGTTCCTCAAAATGATCATCTCGCTTCATGAGGACCAGCACGGTCCAGTCAGATACAGGGACGCACTTTCTGAGCTGTTTCCAATACCTAATGGTGTGAAGCAAGGCTGCGTTCTTGCTCCAACCTTATTCATGATCTTCTTCAGCATGATGCTCCAAAGGGCCACGGCAGACTTCGATGATGAAAACGGTGTCTACATTCGATATCGTACCGATGGGAGCCTTTTCAACCTAAGGCGACTGAAGGCCCACACTAAGACCTTAAAGCATCTTGTCCATGAGCTGCTTTACGCTGATGATGCCGCCCTCGTCGCCCACACAGAAGTAGCTCTGCAGCGTTTAACATCCTGCTTTGCAGAGGCTGCTGAGCTTTCTGGTCTGGAAGTCAGCTTGAAGAAGACAGAAGTTTTATATCAGCCTGCACCTCAGGAAGTCTTCCATCATCCCCATATCACCATTGGTGAAACAGCACTCAAATCAGTCCAGCAGTTTAATTACCTGGGAAGCATCATCTCCTCGGTAAGTTTGATGCTGAAATTGACAACAGGTTAGCAAAGGCATACAGTGCTTTTGGTAAACTCCATAAAAGAGTATGGCAAAACAAACACCTGAAGAAAAGTACTAAGATCAGTGTTTACAGAGCCATCGTACTGTCTACTCTTTTATATGGATCTGAATCATGGGTCATTTACCGGCACCACTTGCGTCTCTTAGAACGCTTCCATCAGCGCTGCCTCCGTATACAATCCTAAACATCCACTGGACTGACTATGTGACCAACACGTCTGTCCTTGAGCAGGCAGCAGTCCCAAGCATTGAGGCCATGCTGCTGAGAACTCAGCTGCGCTGGGCAGGGCACGTCTCCAGGATGCAGGACCATCGCCTCCCTAAGATCGTGCTTTATGGGGAACTTGCCACTGGCTGCCGCAAGAGAGGAGGC